GGGGGCTGAGCGTGTTGGCGGGATCCCGCGAAGCACCAAAGCACAGCACAGCAGCATCCCGACAACACGGTGATTCACTCCGCGATACCACGATGGCCCGGCGAGATGACCCGGCCGCAGCAGGGAGGGCAGCAGGCTGACGGAGTAGCTCCGAGCCGGGGCGCCAGCAAGTCGGGCAGATGGTAAAATACATCGGCATACACACCACTTCAATAACCGAACTATGCGAATTTTCGCCAGCTGCTCTGCTCGCTCTGCGGATTTCACGACCGTCGGAGCTTGTGCGCTGCTTATGAGTCACCGAAAGTCGTTGACAGCGCAGTGTAGTTTTCCGAGCGGTGTCCAGTCCAGGCGTCGTGAATCACACACACACACACACGCACGCACGCTTGTATGCCCCGTGCCCCGCGGCCAGGTGTGAGAGGGAGGGGGGGGGGGGGACTATCGGGCCGAGGCTCGCGCGATATGGAGCTCCGGTGGAGCTCGCGGCGATCAGCCGAGCCGAACCGGACACCTCACGCAACCCCCGCTAACTCAATGTTAAAGCTTTGTCGCTTATCTCCGCGCGGCTTCCATTACTGCCACCTTTTGGACAGCGAAATTCCCAACTTTTGTCCCGCACTCCGAAACGAAATTTCCCGCACGAATTCCGAAGTGAAAATATTTTGCGGCCACCGGGCGGAGTTGACCCCACGACTACCGGGCCCGGGGCCCGCTCGGTACCACGGCGCTGCCGATGTGCTCATGTTTTAGTTCGGAGCCGAGGGATCAGTTTCTGCTCAGATCGGCTGCTTTCAAGTGTGCCAACGATTAAACGCAAAAAGGGCCGGATATGGCATCCAATTATCTATCTCTGCATTTCTGACCTTTTGCTAACAAATGGAATATGTTATTCCACACACGCGTCATCTGTTGGAGTGCTAATCTAGCAGTTTGAAACTAGCCCATCACGACAACCGACCCGACAAATTTTTATGCTAAAAACTGGCAGTACGGGAGGCCGTGCCAGGTGAGGAGGGGGGGGGGGGAGGACGAGGTAGCAAGCGGCCGGAAACGCCTATTAGAGTTGACAGGGGTTGACTTCACGGGCACGGGACACGTATGACAGCGCTGGTGGACTAGTGCAAACAACATAGGTTGCGAAGAGTCACAAAGAAAATTATGCATTACCTTGTTGTGACGGGGCAATAAATTTGCGCCGAAAGGAAACGAAACGCCAATGGGCTGTAAAGTCTAACTTATAGGCTTTTATTTTTATTTTGACTGGAATTGTATTCCCTCTTCCACACCCAGAAAACCGTTTCTTTGAATTAAAGAAATTTTATTTAATTCAACGAAAATTTCGTGCCAGAAACCAAAGAAATCTTTTTCGTTCATATAACGATAAACTTTCTTTCACTCAACGAAAGTTTTCTCAGATTGAACAAATTTTCGTAGAGATGAAGAAATTTTTCTTTAAATCAACGAAAATATCGTCAGTTCGTGATTTCGTTAAGTCAAAGTTACGGTCTTCTGGGTGCAGGCACTTACTTACTCCACAAACTACAGGCATTTCTTGCTAGTGTATAAGAGTTGCGGTTCTGGCTCAGACCTCCTATGGCCGGCACACCGATAGGGTTAACCGTCCGCAAGCATTACACCCTGTCCCGCTCTCCTTACTCGCGGTTAAGCGGGAGTGGGCTGTTGGTTCGGGAATCCCAGTCACCCATGGTCCACAATGCTGCGAACGGCGCTACGGCGATGTCGTTGAAGTCGTTGAAATGGGGCGGTTAAGGTGAGCCGAAAACGGCCGGACTGAACACCAGTCCCTACCAACGTCAACAACGTCAACCCGACAACCACCTAACCTAGTAAAGCAGCAATTATTTTATTTTACTCTCAAACAGTCCGAAAAAAATATGGTCCAGGCCAGGGGTTTTCAACCGGCGGGGTTTCGACGACGCTCATGAATGGGGTGACGATAATGTATTTCCTCCTCTCTGTTTTCCGCACAACAACGCCGGTCGCCCAGCTCCACTTGTGAGGGCGCTTGAGGCCTGAAAGCGCACAACCGCGGTGATCTCCATTTCCGGCGCCGTGCCTTCGCTCTCTCTCTCTCTCTCCCTCTCTCTCTCTCTCTCTCTCTCTCTC